TTCGTTAATCAGTGTATATAAGAGGTAAAGATAATAGTTAGCTATGTCAAATGTTTCAAAGAGGAAATGAATCATTTATGAGTCATTTATACTATGGTTTACTGCGTTATTTGGGAAGGCTAACGAGGATTTGTTTGTTTGTTTATTCAATCAATTATGAAAAAGCACATGATGGCTATTTACCTAACTAAAGCACTGATGTTATGGCGGACGTTTTAATACCTGCTAAGGAAGAGATGCTTTTGCGGCAGATTTTGATGCAAAAATATATTTGATTCATCATGAAAGACACTCTTTACATTAATCTTAATAGATGATTTATCATATAATTGTAAAATATTTCTGTCATGCAGTAGCTAACTAACCTAACCTTAGAAAACACGAGATTCGAAAAAGTGCTATAATATTTTGTTTAGAAAATATTTGGAGACTCCCTTATAATGGCAACTTCTAACATCCTGGAAATGTAGATTCAACCAAAATAGCTACCTTATTACAAAAGACCCTAGTTTCATTGGATATGACATTTTAATGGAGACATCGGCTTGTCTAGATATTAATAACGTAAAGGTGAATCTTGTCGTTGCCTCTAAAGTTTACAAAGAAGCGCGTGATTCTTCAACCCGTTCAGTTGCATTTGAAAATACTCAGAGTTGTTCCGTACAATCAGTGGAATCCTATACACTGATGATTCAATGAAGGACAGGGACATAGGCACTAGAGCTATTGTATACAGCAAGTGCTTTATAAAGCAATCGGTGTTAACACCACTGGTTTTGATAGTAAATTAGAAGCAGTTCACAAGGCCTTGTAACTGATCTCGTAGGACCTCTTTTTCCGAGGTCATCATCCTCTTAGGCTCTAGATCTGTCCTTCAGATTCTTGTCAATTTTGATAGAAAAATTATACAGAACTTTTGCATAGTTTTGATATAATACCTTAGCATATACTGTGCATATGTTACTGAATTGTTTTGTTGAAATTGCATTTGTAAAGTCATTAGTGGTCACGTGATGGGAAAATAACACCAGATCTGTCACATCGAATAATTGTAGTTAGCCAGTTTTTCTGTGCTCCCTCAGCCGTCAGTAAGAAAATAGAAACAAAGTGTCTCTTTTTTTATATCTTTTTGTTCTCACGGCTAAGAATGATAAGCATTTTCAAGAGTGAGGCCGTTTATGAGATTTCGTGAGACTTTCCCAAGAGCGGGATAAACTCCCGCTGAACATTAGAATATGCAAAGAATCAAAGTCGCACCTGTTGCTGGCAGGTACTATTGAAAGAAAACACTTCTGTTGTTGCTGTTGCTGATTAATGCTTATTTGTCTGACCTATAGTCAGCCCAAGCCCACGAAATTCCTCGTGGCAAGGAACGCAAGATACGGCTGTCATTGGCAATAACCTTGAGCACCATACAGGTGACCAGACGACTTAGCTCAGTTCCAACCGCCCCCCCCCAGTTTTGATGGAGAACACCCCGGGTACACGTGTCCAAGGGTCTCCAACTCCTTCTTTCCCTACCACCAACCTTTCGAGAGGACGTTCTGATTGCAGCATATTTAGAGTGCCCTCATGCCGCATGGACACTATACATTTACAAACATCCATGCCTTCTCCGGGATTCGAACTCGGGACCTTCAGCACGTCAGTCAGCGACGCTAACCATTACACCGGTTGAGCGGCGAAAATATTTCTAAAATTAACTATTGAAGGACTGATTCATGATGAGCAAATAAAAATTCAAGAATAGAATGTCTTTTGTGGGTGGAGTAACTCAGCTATCCCTTGTGAGTACATCCGATTTAAGTAACGAATTGAAAAGGCAAAAAATGCTCATTTTCTGAATTGGTGGAACGTGAGGTATGGAATTGTCCCATTCTTTGTGCAAATTGTACAACGTTTTTCTTATTTTTCAAAATATATTTCAAAATTATTTTTTGTGAAGAACTTCAAGAACAGGTAAAAATTTATATTGCACAACACGACGAACATCGAAGAACAGAGTCAACGTTACCTTAATTTTTCGAATAAATTTAGCATGATATTTTGAACATTGCTTCAACATTTGATCACCATCGCTTAACTATCGACTTGTTTCTATACAAACAACGTGTGTCCATGTTCTCGACATGTAATACTGCGTTTACGAAGGAGTAGCTTTAATAAATATTTCTACGGTCACTTGAATACATTGATAATTTTGGGAAAAATTCATATTTTTGGAATAACATGAGGGAAAAAAATGACGCGAACGTAAAAAAACTTTCACAATTGTTGGTTATAATGTAAATGTTAAATTCAGTTCGTTCAAAGCCGTCCCTAATAATTAAAGAGCATTTCCTACGCACAAAATCTCTGACTTCAACAACGTTTTCTCATTAGTTGAAGTGGATGGTATATCAGACAGTGTATCATATTAAACGCATTCTGTGCCTTCCTTAAATTTCGTAATACCTGAGCACAAGCTTCTTCTTCGTCAGTTGCAAGTATGCAGATGATGAAGAAGATTGTATATTTTAATCTTCGAAATTTATCTTGTAATTTTTGAATATTGCGGTGATTCTTGTGACATTAACACCTCCAATATTTTTAATACTACTCAAAGATACAGTTTTTTAAAATAAGATATTGTCGTTAAAGGCTTTTCGCAAAATTTCAACTGTTTTTACAGCAGAAATAGATTGCTAAATCGAAGTTTAATAGATGTTGTTTGTATAATCATATTCAACATTTTAAGAAATTTTGAAAAGATGTTTATGTTTTAAATATTTCAAAGCATTAGTTTTCGAATATTTAAAGAAATAGGTATACCGTTTATTGCTGATGTTAATGAAAGTCGCAAGGACAATGAAAAAGCTTTCCAAGGAATCTTGCATTCGCGCAGTTTCAGTAAATTATTTCCGATACTTTTTAATCACAATAGTTGAATGTGGAAAAGCTACAAAAACTGATAAGGAATACCTCTGAACTCTGAATGCAAGGTAACTGTTATTTGCTTCACTCAGCAAAGAAGGGTACTCCTTCTAGGAACAAAGTATGCTTGTAATATTATTTATTCGAGAATCTCTTTAAATTCTTTGAAATGTACTTTATATTATTAACATTCAGTTCGTTAGCATTACTGTTTGATTTAGAAGCAGGATCTAACAATCACTTAAAATATAGGATTGCTAGCACTGAATTAAACACTTTTATTTTAAAATCCATAAAAATCACTGCACAGTAGACAAGAAAGGTAGAACAATTTTTAGTCGCCAAAATTCAATAAATTAATGCAGAAATTGTATGAAAGAGTTGTTTAGAATATTGATTCTCAATCAGTCAATCCAAAGGTGTAAAACTTGGAAGTCTAAGATGGTAAATTAAAAATGAGCATGTAAAAAGTTAAAAATCAAACTTTGAATATATCTACGTAGAGCTAAAAAATTCTCATCACAGACCCATTTATCTGAAAAATAAGAAAACTATGCGAATAAGTGAGTTAAAATTAATTAAATTTCTTACCCAAACATATAAAAAGATAAAGAATTAAACAAAGTGGTGAAAAAAAATTTTTTTTTTTCAGATTTGATATTACCCCCAAAGAGGCGATTGTTTCATTTACGTATATGTACACGCTTCGAGAGCATTTGTACTAAAGCCCCTTTGGACTTAAAATATTTAAAAACAGCATATCTTTAGAACTTCCAATAGAGAGTCTCGCGTGCAGGAGATAAAAACGTTTTATTCCGCTCAGTATGCTGTCACTGCTCAGTTTGAAATCTTTGAGTTTCTTTACAAAACCTCGTTAAAGTTTATAAGTTAAAATAGATAATAAAAACATACGAAATTCAAGATTCGATCTTCCAAGTGCCTATATTCAGTTGGAGGGCTACGATATTCAAAATTTAATGACTCTAGGTATCGTTGTTTTTCCACAATCCGAGACGCATACATTCATTCATGCAGATTCTTCGTTATATAATTTCTTTAAATGGATTAAACAAAGTGGTAAAAAAAAAATTCAGATTTGATATTACCCCCACAGAGATGATTGTTTCATTTACATATATGTACACGTTTCGAGAGCATTTGTACTAAAGCCCAAAGGGGCTTTAGTACAAAGCGATAATATTTGGTGTCCACAGTTTTGGACATGATACAGCCGTTTAGAGTGAATCAACGCAAAAATTCCATTTCGAGACAAATATTCCTTCTGGGCTAACGCCCTTTTGGGTTAAAAATAAACCATCTTAAAATTAAACCAACTTAAGATATATGGAATTGATAGAAGTTGTTCAAATTCTATGCCAAATTAAGTTAAATTTTTTTCCTAAATTTTAACCCTTACATAATCAGTTTTTTTAAAGAATTCTCAACAAAGGTAACGTAACATTGACAACAGATTTTACCCTTTACATTCTATTTTATCTAATTTCTTTTAGGATTGTTGCGAATTTTATATTCATATTTTTAAATAAAATAATACGTTTCCAAAATATGGAAATATAAATAATTTTACTGAGAGAACCAAAGGTTTTGCAAAAATATATTGTACAAGCATGCAAAACGTAGCCTACACAATCAATAATTAACTGACTGTTTACTTATATTCAAAATAAATAGCTTTATATATTGATAGAGTTACATGATATATTAATGTATCTCAACATACAGGATCTGTCTCTAAAGCATCTGTAATAATGCATAATAATTCAAACATCCATTTAACAACACTGAATCATCAGAACAAATGTAAATTATTATATTTCTTGAAGTAAATTATTAATAGCCCAGTTTTAAACCCATGCTAAAGGTTTAATTTTAAGTTGGAAAAGTCGAAACTATACACTCCCACGCTTGCACATGCTTAATCTTGCGAAGAACGTATATCATGTAATTTACAAATTAAGTGATACATTTATGAATTTATCTATTTAAGAAAGATTTCAAAGTATTTTCAGTTTAGTTTACCAGCAAAAGAGGTAAAATAATTTCAGACCAAAACTAGCTAAACTTACCTCTTCCCTGGAAAATTTCTTTTCTTTTTTTTTTTTTTTGCGATTCCTCCGTAAATAGCTCAAAGAACCAAGGAAAAAAACAATACATTTATCATCTTCAAAAAAGTAAAAATAAACAACTCGTAAAACTCACTTAAAATACACGCGCTGCTACCAGCTAACGTTTTTAACAGGGGAGGGGGTTCAGTGAAATATAGCTTTTCGCAGCTTTTGGAAAGAGCGCCCGTCGGCGGTTGGGAATGTTAAGAGAATACCAAGAGGAGTAGGACAGGATCAGGAAACTAATGGAAGGATCAGCCACCAGAGGGCGCTTCGTAAACATTTTAAGAGCAATCATAGTGATTTATCTTTTTATGTTCGTCAACCGAAACAACATGAATTTGGTTTGGGTGGGAAGGAGCAGATGATTTGGGAAGAATAATGTCTGTTAATTTTGTTTTACATGTCTTAAGTAATATTTCAGTAAAGCATGGTTATGTGTATACACTTTCAACAACACATGCCTATAAAAATACAGATTTTTACTGAAAGGTATAACAAAATTACTTTTTTGAAAAGCATCGTTAAGGGTGACAGAAAATGCTGTTGGATAAAAAATAAGATCATATTTAATTGAAGTCGGTAGAATGGTTGAATGCTTTGTTGAAGCCAAATTTTGGGAAAGATAATTACTGTTATTATGAAACCAAGAATCTAAGTGAGAATGTGAATTTGTTCGCTCTGTGGAAAGGTTTCTTTCAAATGGAGAAAAAAATGGGTTTAAAAATTGGATTTTTACGCTTTTCAGATAAGAGAAATCACAGAATATGAGAAAGTGCGCAAACTCTTTTTAAATTGCCGATTATTAAAAGCTTCATGACCATTACGGCAAAAGATATCTGTTTTGTCTTTAATCTAAGAATTTACTTATTTGACGTATTTTAGTTAAATCAAATGTAAAAGAAACCACATTTTGAAGCCGAATCCTTATGTGTAGTAGTTATTTCTAGAATAACTGCTACACATAAGGATTCGCTTGTACAGAATATTAGAATTTTCAAAGAAGTAAAGGTTATTGCACTGAATTATTTAAACTGCGGAAAGTAAGCAGGGTCTAAAGCAGGGCTTCATAATTTTTTTTTTCATTCGCTACCCCTTTTTACCACTGAGATTTTTTCCCGACCCCTAGACCCCATAATATTTACGAAAATTTTGTGGTATCACCATAAGCGTTGCGCAAATCCGACACACGCGTTAGTGAAATTGTCAATTTTTTCACTTGTACTAATATATATTATTGCAGTTTTAGGTCATTAACTTTAATTTCTAAATTTAAGACATAGAACAATGTGAAAATTTTAAATAAGTAACAGACGAAATGACAGCGTTACGTGCAAAGTAGGTAAAATGAACAGTTATATAAAAGAATGCGTCGAAACGTTTTCGTTTTCTATTTGCTTTATTGTCTTATTTTTATCTATTTTCATACACATTGTATAAAAATATTTGGTAACTGTAAAATTATTATAATAAGTTAAAGAAATATCAAAACTGCTAAAATTTTTGGAGACCTCCTGCTGCAGGTCCCGCGACCCCCATAGGGATCGCGACGCACCGTTTAAGAAACTCTGGTCTAAAGGTAGACATATCTTCGTGGAGAACGTTTTAAAGGAAAAGAACCTCTAGAGACATTAGATATTTTTTGGAAACAGGAGTCATGAAGAATGAGAAACGCCTTCGCCGGGGATCGAACCACGGCCCTCTGGGGTACACGCCCAGCATGCAGACCCCTACACCACGAAGGCACGCAAAGAAGGCGGGAGATATACCTTATATACTCCTCCCTTTTAAAGAGAGACTGGGGTTTTTACGGACCCAGTCACCAAATTGTGGGTGTGGAGAATCATCATCCACCACCCTTTTAGTTTGGGCGTCCCGGTAGAGATATTAGGTTATTTTTTAAAGCAGGGGTGATGAAAAATAAGCAACGCCTTCGCCGGGAATCGAACCACGGACCTCTGTAACAGCGCCACACCACGAAGGCATGCTAAGAACGCGGGAGAAATACCTTATATACTCTCCGTTTTAAAGGTCGACTGGAGTTTTAGGGAAACCAATCGCCAAAACCTAGTTGTGGAGAATCATTATCTACCACACTTTTAGTTCGAGCGCCATTGTAGAGACATTACGTATTTTTGTTGGAAGTAGGAGTCATGAAAAATGACATATTCCTTTGCCGGGAATCGAACCACGGACCTCTGGAATACGCGCCCTGCGTGCAGACCAAAACACAACGTAGGCACGCTAAGAAGGCGGGAGAAATACCTTATAAGCCGCTTTTTAGAAGTTTACTTTATTGCATATATCGTATTATTCTGAATAAATTTATACCTTTAATTAATTTTTCTAATAATTATTTATCAGGTTATTTTCTCTATTATTCTTCTCTATCTTATATCTATCTCTGTTATTCTTCTTTTAAAGGAAATCTTCTCTTCTTGGTTTTTTCGATTTAAATGTCCGGAGTCAGCTAAGTTGTTCATGTTTTAAAATCGCGCCGTAGTCATCATAACTCTATAAAACTTTGTGCAAAGCCTTATTTTTTTATACACTCCTTATCTTTCCAGATTAATTTTTGGAAACATTTTAAACTCTTGTCGGAACCCAATTTATGCTCGAAAGCAGAGCCCCAAAGAATTTTGTAATTATAATGCACAGAAATTTCGTTTCGAAACAAACAGCTTAAGCAAAATAATTGCTGACATAGTAGCTGTAAATGAAGCAGTCGGAGCATATAATGAAGAAAGGAAGAGAAAACTGCAAATTATGCAAAATGCGGATTTTCGGAAACGATAGCATTTTTCAGAAGCAGCAAAATGATGCAATTTGTAATTGAAGCAGGAAAAATTGCTACAGAAGTTAATTGGGCTGTTCGAAGAAACAGACATTTACATACTTGGACGTTAGAAGCGAGAAAAGAATATAAAGGAGATTAAAAGTCGAAAATTTCTAATTGCATATTTTTAAAACAATTTCGATGAAGAATTTAAAAACGAGCAAATGATTTGGAAAAAAACATTTCTGCGAACAGCTTATTATTTAAAATGAGAAATATCGTCTGCTACTTTTAAATTTACTCTTATTTCAGAATATCGCATATAAGCAAACTGTGTATTGAAGGATATGTTTTCCTTTAATACATTTATAGAGTCATTTCGTTTTTTTGAATCGGGAAACATGGAAAATAAACAACACCCTCGCCTGGACTCAAACCTGGACTTCTCGAATACGAACCGAGTAAGATACCGCTACACCACGAAGTCATGCAGAAAGGAGAAAGAAATTACCTTACATAGGTAGGTAGGTAGGTTACGGAGAACTGGAAGGCCTGGTGTCTAGTAGAGGTAAACAGGCATGTATTCCACGTCCTCCTCTAACTACAGCAAAAGCTCCCTGGAGCCACACGAGGCTGCATCAGGAGATTTTTGAGGTTGTCAAAGGGAAGTACATGGCCTTACAAGGGCATTAGTAGGATTGTATTACAGATTGAAGAGGCAAGCTGTGGTGTTACAGAGGGTAGGTAGTTAAACAAAAAATACAATAAGACGTACACATGAAAACACAAAGCAAATAATACACAAAGCGCAAAATTCAGAAACAAAATAATACACATAAAACAGGTACTTACACATAATTACTTACAAAGAGTTCGTGAAGGCTGGAGCACATAGTTAGTGTTGGGCAATTCTGTTGTATATAAATACAGGTACATCTTGAATGATGAATGATGAGTTCGTGAATACTCATGTGTGCAGAAGAGTGCAGTTAGATTGCGTAAGGCGTTGATTATTGTAGCGTCACTAAGAGCATATAAAAAAATTGGTAAAAAGAACACGAGGATGCAGTAGCACTAATGTTTGGGCACCCTGAGGCACACTGCATCGTGAGGCGCACAAGCGTTTACTAACACTGCACAAGAAGATGCTTGTTCACATGCTATTGAAGGGATCACGCATATATCATAAGCAGGAGGATCCTCTCACTAAGGAGATGTTATGTATTTTCGAATTATTAGTATTGCCACTTTAATCTGTTGGGAGCTTAAACGCACAGTTGTTGTGACGACCAGATACATTAAAATCTATTGAACTAGTCTTAGAGCTTATCATCAGTACACCAGAGTGTGGAGGCCGAAGTCTACTAACCGACTTATTTTAGCACGGTTGGCAAAGGTCTGTGCCCAATGCCGCGATGGTATTAATGATGCTGGAGATCGAATTAACTGCTCCTTTACGCTTTACATGAACCGTTGATAGGCGTTGCTATTATTTGTAGGTAGCGAAAGATGGTTGCAGCCGTCAAAGGATATTCAAATACGTAATGGTCTGCTGACCCATCTGATCCGCAGATACAGATATCGGTATTTGAGATGCCATGGCAATTGTAATAAGTTGGAAAACGTATATACTCTCCCTTTTAAAGGGCAATTAATGCACCCAATTGGCAAATCCTGGTGGTGAAGAATTATCATCCACCATCTTTTAGTTCGGGCACCAATGTAGACACATTAGAATTTTTTCTAAGCAAGAAAGGTGAAAAATGAGCAAAGCCCTCACTAGGACTCGAACCCTGAACCTCTGGATTACGCGGCGAGTGTGCTACCGTTATGCCACGAAAGCATGCAGAAAGGAGCGAGAAAATACTTTAAACACGAAAAAAAAAAAAGAAAAAAGAAAAAAAGAAAAAAAAAAAAAAGAAAAGGAAAAGTTATACAAGAATTGCGTATGTAACTGTAAAGACCGCTGGCGTTTCATTTACGTGCCTTTTGTCTCTTGAAAAGACCACTTTCTAAGCGGAAACCCACCACAATTGATGGACTCTGCAAAGTATTAGAAGAGGAATGAAAATTACTGAAAATTAATGAAAACCTTTCTATCATGGAAATCGTGAAGCAGGCTTTAAATTTTGAGAATTAATTACACGACCTCGAAGAGGTTCTAAAAATGTGTAAACACCTTCTGTAAATATGTTTCTGTGAAAGGTATATAAAAAATTTACATAAATCGTAAATAAATGTTAAATATTTTGCATATTGCATCAGTTAAACGTGACAGTCCGCTAGCGAAACCTCTTATTTTGACCTTCACTTTGTTTCGAAGGTCAAGTGCGAAAAATTTCGTCAAAATCGGAATAAAGTGTGCAGCAACATACTTTTCATATAGTCGAGTTTTTTGATTAA